CCGTCTGTCCGATCTGTCCGTCTGTCCGTCTGTCCGTCTGTCCGATCTGTCCGTTCTGTCCGTCTGTCCGTCCGTCCGTCCGTCCGTCCGTCCGTCCGTCCGTCCGTCCGTCCGTCTGTCCGTCTGTCCGTCTGTCCGTCTGTCCGTCTGTCCGTCTGTCCGTCTGTCCGTCTGTCCGTCTGTCCGTCTGTCCGTCTGTCCGTCTGTCCGTCTGTCCGTCTGTCCGTCTGTCCGTTCTGTCCGTCTGTCCGTGTGTCCGTCTGTCCGTCTATCCGTCTATCCGTCTGTCCGTCTGTCCGTCTGTCCGTCTGTCCGTCTGTCCGTCTGTCCGTCTGTCCGTCTGTCCGGCTGTCTGTGATTTTAACCAAATTTTGCAAAAACATACTGTGGCACCCGAGAATCTGGCCATTAGTTTTTGGTGGGGATGGGTGGTTGGTAAGGGGGTATGGGAGGGGGTTAAAATTTAAAAAAAATCGTAACTCCAAAATTACAGTAGCTAGCAAAACGCGGTTTTCAATTTAAGATTAGGAATAATATTTGCAACAAAATTTGTAATAACATCAAAATCAGTCATATTTTAGTATGGGCGGCTATACGTGCCTCCCGGCGCCAATTATTTTTTTTTCTAAAAACGTTGAAAAAATAGTATATTGTTAGAAATATGATTATATAAACAAAATTGATTTATTTTTGGGAAGATAAGCACGGACCGCTGTCGGTCGCGCCAGTGTGATGAGACACTTCAGCACGCTCGTTTCAATGCTGTCTGTGTTTATTAAAGTTTCCCGATTATTATTTGCGATTTATAGTTGATTAAATGTGTTGAATTGTAGTTTATCGGAAAGGTTCTGTGTTTTTATTATTTAATTGCTAAAATCAGAAGTGGGATAGGGCTTACACCACAATAAGCTTTTGAGTGGCATGGTGAAACTTGGAAGATGCGTTTGAATAAGATAAGTACACAGGTTCTAATTAGGTTTACAAATCAAAATTATTGGTTGCCTGTTTGTGGCTTTGGAAGAGTACGAACAGTTAATATTTCAGTTAATCAGTTGAGTATAATAAAGTAATTTTTTTTGCGATTTATAGTTGATTAAATGTGTTGAATTGTGGTGTATCGGAAAGGTTCTGTGTTTTTATTATTTAATTTTGTTTTATTTTAAAAATGACACTTTTTGTGGCGAAACTGTACGTTTGACAAACAGTCGAGCACAAAAATTCATTTTTACTCCGAATAGAACATGTTTTTTTGTTTCCTAACCAAATAACTTTTTAAACAATTTCAAACGTTCTAAATAATAAAAAAAAAAGATTTAAAAATTATAAAAAACTATCTAATTAATCCACAAACACATAATTTTGAACCACCCCGTAAAAGTTAAAATATTTTCCTGAAATACGTTCTAATACATACCTTAGGTCTGCACTTAAATACAATTCCTAACTTTTTTATTCTAGAAGCTACAGATGCCCGACGCACTTTTGCCGGACCCTGTGTATGATCTATGAAACAAAAATCTATTAACGAAAAACTTTTTTATCGAGATTTCCCGAAAAATTCTCACTGGTGACAACAACGGACGCTCAATTCGACTTGATTAAAAAAGAATTTTCATTGGAAATTAAGGCCGAAAGAGGGAGCCAGGATCTAGATAAACGTCCCCGTCTCCAAATCCATTTCCCGTTGCAGTAAGATTAAAACTTTTCTGTTTCAATTACCTTTTGTCTTTTCCGCCATCCTCCTTCTCTCTTCTCGTCTTTTTCCGTCGACTGGGGCGGGGTTATTTAGCAGATTCACGATTTAGATTAGATTATCTCGTATACAGGGTCGACAGAAAACAGATACACTCGATTTGGGGTCCTACGAAGTTAGTTTCAGCGAGATAAGAGATAGTTTTAAACTAACAGTTATTGATGACCAGAGATGTACAAGATAAAAAGGATAAAAAGTATCTGAAATACAAGTTACAAGATACTTCTAAGCAAAGTCAGTTACAAAATACTTTTGGAAAAGGTATTTAAAATACTAGTTATAAAATACGTATACATTCTAAATAATTCTAGTAAAATAAAAACTTTTTTTCAAACATCACAAAAGTATTAATTTTTGCGACGTGAATAACAATATAAAAATAGTTATTTTTTATACAAGACGATAAAATGGTATGATTGTTACGTTTTAAAAAATATTCAGAAATTATTATTTCAATGAATTTATTACGAGCAGAAAAAATATTGTGCTGGTTTGGCGTTGGTTTCTATGTAATTTGACAAATATGTAACGTTTTTAGTTCGTTACATGTCTTTTTTATATATAATATATGATGTCTGGGCCTATCATCACCGGATTCCCTCTCGTTCAGGCCGGATAGTTTATTTGACGCGTAATTTTTACGTTCCCTGGTCGCCAATCCTGTTATCGTTCGACACAACCCTGTTACTATTCTGTGGAGGCGCGCGCTGTCAACGTCGCTTCTGTCAACTCTCTCCGTGCTTAACCTCACTTTGTTTTGACGCTCTGTTGTATCCCAGCTTTTAGAAATGGTGATTATTTAAATCTTGCTGTATAATTTGAATCAGCTGCTATTTCGAAGCAACAGGTAAAGATGAAATATTATCCTTTTAGATTCGATATTATTATTTAATATTTTTAGGGTAGAGTTACGGATGTCCCAACTTGTATTTTTATTTTGCTGGCACGTTGGCGTCCCTTTTCTTTTGTCCTCCAGAATGTCACATGGAAGAAAGGACATGTTGTTTATTATTTATTGAGCCCTCGGAAGTATTTCGAGGTAGGTTTATTTTGTTTATTAGACCTTGTTTGGTTTTAAACAAGAGTTTCATATTTTTAGGGTCCAAGGTACGGACTATTTCCAAGGTACGGACTGTGTCCAAGGTACGGACTGTGTCCAAGGTACGGGTAGTGTCTTATGTACGGACATTATCTTATGCACGGATGTCCTGTGGACGAGTGTCCCCAGTAAGAATGGTTTTTTCTTACATATAAGTGCCACAGCATGGGTGTAGCTTGAGTCCCATGCTGCTTCGTTCCCAGCTGTAAGCTAGTTAGTTACGGCTGTACCAATTTATGGTGTCTCATTCTGGCCCCTTTGGTTGTGTTGGATGGCTGAGTACAGAGAAATGCGAGACCACCTCACGATGGTACTGTTTTAAGCAGGATTGCATAAAGAACAGCTAAGTGTAGATTTAAGTTATAGTTTTGCATTTAACATTTAAAACATTTACAGTCTTAAACAATAATGTACATCTTAAATAATATCGTATAGACTATGTTGAGTGGTTAGATTGTTAAGAACATTGATGTCGATTTAGTAGTTAAAATATAATTTAGATCTTAGGTTTCATTGCATTATGTCTTGTAATAGTATTACTTTTTTATAGATATTATTATTGCACTCTAACATCATCTAAAATATATCAAATTAATTAAAGTAATGCTACATTTCATACATTCTCTTAAACTTTACATTTCTTGTATTTTATCATAGTCGTTTTCATAGATATTTAGTACAACTCTTACCACCACTTTCTCATATAACCACTACATATTCACTAGAACTCTACAATGTCATGTATCAGCAACGAACATCATGAATGAATATAGTCATTAGTTTTAAGTAATATACAACTGTGTTTTCTTTCTCCGTACATGCCTGGCGCCCAATATCTATTTTTTTTGTTTATTGTTATTAATTAGTTTTCTTTCCAGTGAAATACCTTATCCACGACTGCTCTCCGATGAAAAGCTGCCGTTCGCAGTGGTAGTGGTTTAAAAAACGCTACAAATAAATAAAGCAACATTAGGGTCTCCAACATTAGTCGTCTCACACGACCGAAGTCATCAAACCGGACGACCGGCAATCGTATTATGACGTATATAATTCCAACGTACGCCACGTAACCTCACTTTGCGTCAGTGATTTGTGGATTTGTGCAACTATATTTTAGTTTTTGTTTTCTCCTTAAAAAATGGGTAGCCACTTTTTTAAGATAGTATATATACAACATTAAAAAGAATTGGAACCAGTACCTCACATGTGGGAGGAGGATAGGGTCTGCTGGTTTCCTAAGCTAAAAATAAAATTAAGATGCACCAGTGTAATGCAGCATCTCTTCCGGATAAAAAATATTCCTGGGTGGGGGCAAGATATCACTACTACTATTATTATTTTGCAAAAGCCTCGACCTCTTTCTGGAAAATGTAGATGAATGTCTAAATGCCTTTTTAGTGTTTTTTTAGGCATAATAAAACAAATTAAGTTTGTTTACAAAAACTTTTTATTAGGTTATGTTAATGATGTTCATTAGGCCGCAAATGCTACTTAATGGGTTGTATTTACGGACATAAATAGAGATACGTAAATTAGGTTATAAATATGAACATAAAATACAACAAAATATAATTTGACGTTACTTTAGGGATTATCAGTGAGACGTATCCTATTCGGACAACGGGTAGACGTCGGGCTAGTTCAAGTATATGTACGTCGTGCAAGCCAACGTGGAAACGACGTTGGGAAATTAATAAAAATGGTACGTTGTTATTTTGTACGTCGACAGATCGTTGGATTTACCGACTCGGATCCAACGACGTCGCTTTTAATAGGAAAGCGACGTCACCGGTCGTATCACCAGCACCCTACCTAAATTTGCAAAAAGTCTGACGACGCTTCAGGTCAGATTTAGTTCGAAGTCAGATAGATGCTACTTGGGTTGGTTCAAAGTTGGGGATGTAGTTAAACACTATAGGTAGTCTACAAACCGAACTTTGTTAATTAGAATTAAAGATACAATTACTTAATTATTTTATTTCAAGAGTTATGAACTCAAAAGTCCACAAAAATATATTTTTCAATTAACTCAAGCACCTGTGATATATTTTTGTTTGCTTATATGGACACAAACACTTATAAAATTATTTCGAAATCAATCTTGAATTGATCTAAAAACATATTTAAACCACTTGTAATCGTTATTACAAATAAGTACTTCTAAACTAAAAGGAATGTTATTGATTCTATTACTAAAAATAATCTCATTAATAAATTAACGTCACTTAAATAACTAAAGTAATTTGAATGAAATATTAATTTGATATTAATCCAGTGACAATACATCAAAAACGATGAATTTTCGAATTGTTGTGATAGTGTTTTCTTTAATAGGAACAAATCTGCCTGTTAAAGCTGAAGATATTTGTAATGTTACTGCCTACGAAGACATACAAAATGCAGTAAGTAACTGTAGTACAATTGTTTTGAAAGATGTGGAAATTCCAGCAAATACAACACTAGAATTGCATCTGAACAATAATACAGAGTTGATATTTGATGGTAGATTAACTCATGTACCTGTGGATTTGATTGGGTATTTGGTAACAATTTATGGGAATGGTCTTACAATCACAGGAACAAAAGGTAATTAGTTTATTTTAATAATTATTTTTAATGGATATTTACATTTTTTGGTACGCGGAATTTAGGTTTGGTTTAGCTTCATAAATTTTAAATTACTAACGTTTGGGTTTGGGTTTATTTTTATTAATTTCCTCTAAACGAAGCACATGTGTATAGGCTTGGTTCATTCTCCGCCGGTGCTGCCACCGCCAGAGAATATCACTTATTCACTTATTTTTACTACCTGAAACAGCGTTACATCACACAAACCTCGTACCTGAGTGTTGCATAGTCTCAATAACTGCACTAGCAAAACTAAAATACTTAAATATTATGACAAAACCCCGATTTCAATATTATTTTAATGCGATCGAAATGCCGCGCCGTCGTCGGTGTGAACTATAATAGACTATATATATATATTGACAATTTCTGTAGAGTGCGCTGCGGTCGGAATTTGTTGAAATCAACTGATATGCACCAACCCTATAGGCATATTTCATTTTCTAGATCATGTACTTGATGGAATGGGCCCTCAACACTGGAATGGTAAAAACGAAACCATAATTATGAGGCCGAATTTGTTGATGTTTAAAGTAACCAACACTACAATTAAGAATCTGAATATACTGAACTGTGCCAATCATTGTACTCATATTTCTGATTCATCTGATGTCATTGTTTCTAACATCTTTATCGACAATCGGGAAGGTTATCCCGTAAGTTATTTTTAATGTTCTTTTCTAACTTTAACTTTCACGCCTCTTTAAAAAAAATTAATACAACTTTTGCATAAAATCATCTGGGTAGATTATATTCAACCTTTTCAAAATTTACATGGGATTTCACATAGGTATGTCTCTCTTTCCGATGCACCTTAAGGTTTATATTTCTTTACGTTTAGGGTGTGGCACCGGTGGGAAAATTTGCAGCTAACACGGATGGAATAGGCATATCAGGATCCACTGAGATATATATTTCAGATGTCGTGGTGTTCAATCAGGACGATTGCGTAGCTATTACTAAAGGACAGAATATATTTGTCGAGAATTTGTTCTGTAACGGATCCCATGGACTGAGCCTCTCTGTAAGTACTATGTATAATTAAATTATACATATCTATATACAGACCGGACCACCGTAGTAGTAACATAGGCAGAACCGGACAAATTAGCGTATACCCGTCCGCCGGATAAAAAGCAGGCGAAAAAATGCGATAAAATAAAAATAGGTCGATATGTGATAAGAATGTTTCAGAATTTGTATTTATTCGTGTTTTAATAGCCAAGACGAATACATAGATTCTCGCAACAGTTCTCGTGTAAAATTTATTTTTTAAGTAAAATAATGGATGTTTACGAAGTTCGTGAGAAAACTCAAATTGTAAAATAGTAAATGGTATTTCCAAAATAGATCTTATCGGGATATACAAACACTTTTTCCACAAACTTTTGTAAACAGGCCAATTCCATCTTTACCTACCTATATCAAGAGTTATTAATAATTTTGAAACACATGGGTGCGTATCCAAAAACCCAAAAAGCCTGATGTGTTGATTAATGAAGAAAAGGAGTTAAAGCAAGAGTTCATTTGTGCTACCGCGGATCAAAATCCCACGTTTTCAAGTAACCAAATTGCTGAAAATTCTTCACTTAGCACGGTTAAAAGAGTCATTAAAAAGAATGGATACCGATCGTATAAAGCGCGCAAAACTCAAGAAATTTTCCATGAAGACCAATTTCGGCGTATGGCGTTTTGTGAATCTGTAATGGAAAAGGCCAATTTAGATGAAAACTTTATTCGGCGTATAGTTTTCACCGACGAATCAAGTTTTCCTTTATTGAGTCGTCATAACCATACACAAGTACGATATTGGTCTCAGAAAAATTTGCACAGATATTTTGAGGTACGCACGCAATACCCTCAAAAGCTAAATGTTTGGGGTGGTTTTGTGGGGGAGCATATGATTGGTCCATTTTTTATAGAGGGTGATTTAACTGTTGCAAAGTATTTGTACTTGTTACAGCAGCAGATTGTCCTTAGAATTCGTGAGTTATTGAGAGAAAGATTCCACAATGTCTGGTTTCAACAAGATGGTTGCCCTGCCCACAATGCCCGTATTGTTCAAGAATATTTGAACAATACTTTTCCCAACCGTTTAATTAGTGGATATGGAACTATTTTGTGGCCCGCTAGATCACCAGATCTTTCTCCCAATGATTTATTTTTGTGAGGTTATGTAAAATCCAAAGTGTATGGTCATAATAGGGCTAATAATCTGGATGAGCTTCAAGTAAAAATACGAGAGGCTTTCCAAACTATTAGCCCTAATATGTTAACCAATGTCAGATGGAGATTTTACGACCGCCTAGGCTCCTGTCTAGCACAAGAAGGTCGTCTTTTTGAACACTTGTTATAACTTTTTTTTATTTAGAGTAATATTTTAGTTTTTTTTGGGTTTAGAGAATTTATTTATTTTTAGTTTTGGCTTGTAAACACACTCAAATAATAAAGATTTAAGTATTTTTATTTTAAATGTTACCTTAAGTGAAGGTAAACACTCAAAATGAAAATAATAAATACTCGGCACTCCTCGCGTCGTATTCCTAGTCTGTCACGACCGACCCGTCCAAGCACAACTGCAACTGCGTACTGCCTGACTAGCCGACTAGCCGGCAGTGAATCTCGAGTACGAACGCAAATTGGGTAAACGTAAATTCGTCCGGCAACTTGCTATGTTACTAGTAGCCTGGTCTTCTCTGTATAGGTCTATTTTACTCTCTTCTTTTTCCGAAAACTGCGATGTGGTGTTTTTTTACAAGACACCAGGGCCATATCTGGGGGGGTGTTTTGGGGGTTCAAACCCCCCCCGAAATTATGGCCGAAAATTTTTAAAAAGTAATGATCATTGAGTAAGTAAATAAGAACGAAACAACCAAACCAAACCAAACCAAACCAAACGTCCATATACGGGCTGCAGCAGAATTTGTGACCTTAGACGCCAACTTTTTAGACATAACGACATCATCAGCTGGTCACCAGCGACAATTTTAGCGATTTTTAATAGTTGGTTGTGTGTAGTGAACTTTGTATAAACTTTATTACAATGGTAATTTGTTCAGCTTTCAAGTGTAAAAGGCGCAATGTAAGAAAGAGCCAGAAGTTACGTTTTATAGGAAAATAAATAGTCCCCTACAACTTTTTAGCGTTTTTTTATTGAATTCGATAATTATTTTTCTGATATTATATGTACTTGATATGTACTATGCGTCGATACTAGTTATGTACCTTTTGTCAACATTTTAATACGTTTTTTTCGTAATTAATTAGTATGATACTACTCGATACACCATAGACGTAGTGAAAACATATAATATCAAATATATAAATATCCCTTCAAGCGGCAATGTTAAGTAAAATATGTGCCACGGCACTGTTTGGAAGAATGGTCACAGTTTGTCTCAGGTGCTATTTGTCCTTGTATTCTTTAGTCATTGATGAATATACATTATACATCCCTAACCTTATTTTTCCACTTTGAAAGCAAATGTCATTTCGATTTTCGACTTTCAACATTCAAGTGTTTAAAACAGCAAAAGTTTGACAAGGACAAGATTTTGAATGTTGTGTGTTTTGCTGGTCATTAACGTGATTAACGTTTGTTATTGTTCTGCTATTAGACAAAAGAATTCTTTTTGGACTATGACACTTTAGCGGCAGAACTAAACTTGTGGCGGCAAAATGGAAGCAGCTACCTGCAGTCGACCGACCTAAAAACGCCATCGAAACGATAATCGGAGTGTAACCAGTGTATATTTCCCAAATATATACATTTTATTAATGATCCTAGCAACTCTACCAGTGTCAACAGCTAAACCAGAAAGGTCTTTTTCAACCCAATGCCGCAACCGCACATGCGGTATTTGGCGATCTCCGATCGGGGCTTTGCCGATTTCCTATGTGTTTGGATGAGGAAGTCGGAGTTCGGCGACACGATCGGCGACGAGAACGAGCGCTCGTCTCTATGTTGTTGCTATCAGAGCCCGCATGTGTGGATGGAAAGGCGAAGTCCGATCACGAGCGTTCGGTAGTTGACGAGCGCTCGGAGTTAAATGCCGCATGTGCGGTTGCGGCATAAGACGATTGAAGGACTTTCTACGTAACTCTACAGGTCAGGAGCGATTGACAGGACTTGCTCTATTAAGCGTACATAGAGAAATAAATATCGATATCGAAGAATCATATCAATCGTTTTTCCAGGAAGAATGGGTCAATCGTTTTTCCAGGGAAAAGACCAGTTTATCCTTTAAAATTATTAATTTTTACCTGTTGTTGTTATTTACCTGTTAAAGCGATTTTTTTATTATGCTTTTTTCTGCAGTTTTGTACCCCCCCTCCCAAGCCAAACTCCCCCGAAATTTTGGTCTAGATACGGCCCTGCAAGACACCAAAATTGTAGTAAATACCAAGAGGAAAAAAATCGGTCGTCGGTAAAGTTGGAGATAGTTTTACTAATATTTATGTAGGGGAGGGGTATTTTTCACCCTTCCTGTACTTTTTTTAATTTTTGTGAGAGTCAAATGTTAAAGCATGTAGGTATCAAAACATAGACACCCCAAATTTTTTCAAATCGGAATAACGGTTCTTAAAAAATGTGATTAATTTTTCTATATATAAAGTTTTTTTACAAATTGCAACACTTTTGCAAATTGTGTCTAATAAACTTATTTTGACTCCATAATACATAGTAATTCTATGTCCACGGAATATTGGGACGCCCTGGATACATTTTTTTATTAATTTAAGGTTGGTGGAGGTGATGTCTCAAACGTGATCTTCAAAGATTCCATATTAACTCAACCCCGACAAGCAATTCACTTAAAAACTCACAATGACGGCACCGATGGTCACATTTACAATATCCTCTATGAAAACATCCTCTTTTTAGGTATACCATAATTAATTTTTTTTTCCATATAGTACAACAAAAATATATATTTTTAGATGCCTTTTAAAATGGGAATATCAATACAACAGAACTACCCCAGTGGCGAACTAAGAGGCAACGTACCTATAACGAATCTAACTCTTCTGAATGTCCATGGTACTGTTTTGAGTGATGCAATACCCGTTTCAATACTCTGTGCTGAAGGGGCCTGCTCAGATTGGAACTGGATAAATGTCACTGTATCAGGAACTCAGAGTAATAATGAATGCGAGAATATTCCCGAAAATATGCGCGATAAAATTGTTTGTTCCTAAGGATATGAGTTTTAAATAAAAAAGAACGATAGTACAACAGTTTTTCATTACACAATTTGCATTAAAAAAATATAAAGGGGCGAACACTCCGATTCTGAATTATAATTGATTTTTTTTTAAATTATTGGTGGAAAGTTCATTTACTTACAATTAACCTTACACATTAACCAAAGCATGTGTTGACATGAATTTAAAAACAAAATACTCCTGAGTCAAGGTACCTGACCGAAAAATAATATTTCAGGAAAACTTACTCACAAATTTTCTGTCTAGAAATTACCTCTAGTAAAAGTCAAATAAGTGCAAAACTTTAAGAGTCAATGTGAAGACCAAGATTAAAGCTCCGCGCGCACTGAATAGGTATCGTTGGTATCGGCGCGAGCGAGCCGGTCGGAAAGTCGATTGTAGCCGCGCACTGGAGTCGCACGATCGACGCGACGGTCGAGAGTACGTCACCAGCATAAATTTGAGCATAGACGAGGAGATGTTTATTCAAATTTAGTCAAATTCATTCGGCATTTCAAAAAATTCTAAAGTATTATTACTATTTATATTTTTATGCAACTTTTTATATTTTATGCTTTATGATGGAAATTGATATTATTTAGATCTTAACCAAACACACATTAATATATTTAGATCTTAACAAACCACATAAAATTAGTGAAAAGAGTGGAAGATGGGGATAAAAATATACTACATGACTCTTAGCTTGACCGATATTAACAAATTTGGTATAACTCAAAAGGGTTTAATTTGTTCTTTAAAAACAAAGCTAGATATGAAAATAGTCAAATAAAACTTCTATTTATAGTTTTTAATCTAAATAAGTGTCATTACAAACATTTATATAGTTTTTATTTTAAGTTTTTAGGCCTGTTTGGGTCAGTAGCACAAACGTGAACTTGTGTGCTTAACATTTTAAAGACGATTGACGCTTGGCGCCTGGTCTTCTTCAGAATCTATAATATACGTATAAATAATTTCAACGTTTGTGGTAAGAAAAACTATATAATAAACACATTGTTAGTGATAAAATTGTCAGCTTGTATATTTTAGGATTCTAAAGAAGACCGAATTGTAAATTAGTCGAAACGTCAATCATTAAACAAAAATGTAAACACAAGTTTCTGTTTTATTCACTACTGACTTAAAACCAAGATTTTAAAAACTTAAAATATAATAAAAAAGTCAAAGAAAATTGAAAAAAGAGAAAATATAAATAGTTTTATAGTAACGTATAATCGAAAAGGAACGGCATCAGCGATGACCATGATATGAAGGTCGGTGCCATTTTTATATGTAATTTATATAGGAAATGTCATCAATCGTCATTTCCCATCCAACTGGACGCCGTTTTTTTCTATCATACGGTAGATATATGTACAAATATTTTATTCAAACATAAATATTATTTTCTCTATTTGTACCTTTTACGGAGCGATCAACATAGTAACATAGGATGACTATTTATCAGCTGTTATTAATAACGTCAAAACAGTTTTTGACGATATTTAAATTCGATTTTCAAAATAATGTGAGATAATCAAAACGAGATGAGAAATAAATGGGTTTAATCGGAAGGTTTTCTAAGTCAGTTATTGAATAAGTGTAGTAAACAATATAGGTTACGTGCTTGTAAGAAATTTTTATAAAAAACCGCATATTAAGTATGATATGGTCTCGTACACTTTCGATTAATAATTCATCGGACATGTTTAATATAAAACCGCTCCACTAAAAACAGTCGCTCGGCGTAGACTATTCGCCCCCTCCCATGCATTCTCTGATTTCGCCTGATGGCGCGAGTACCGCCGATAGCTCGAAGCGCACCGAGCGCACCGATCTAATGCGGTGCGCGGGCTTACATTTATTTCAACGTAAACTGAAAATTACGTGTCGCGCGCTCTCGCCGATACCTATTCAGTGCGCGCGGAGCTTAAGGCTCCGCGCGCACTGCATCAGATCGGACCGACCAGCAAAAGCGACTGCGACCATCGTACATATAGCCGGCGCCGGCGTCCACTAAAACATTTCGGCCTGTAGAGGCCAGATTCCTACCTCTACCTATCTACGATAGTCGAGTCACCGCCTTCGCCGGACTGGTACCGATTCAGTGCGCGTACACCTTAAGGCTGGACCTTGCAAGACGAAGACAAAGATCAAGACTACTAACTACTTGACCCAAGGAGGTCTTAGTTTTGTCTTCCATTTGCTTATCACTATTCAGTGGCGTAACTACCGGTGTTCAAACGTGTTCGATGGAACAAAGAGCGTGTTGCATGCCTTACAAATTCATATTGCACAGTTTGTATACTGTAAGATACAAACTATACGAGGTTGAAGCACAGGCATACGCGGACGACCTGGTAATCCTAGTAAAAGGACACAAAGAGGAGGACATCTCCTCAAAAATACAGGAAGTCTTAGATGCAATTCACGGCTGGTGCACACTGGAACAATTAAGTGTAAACCCACAGAAAACCGTGATCATACCATTCACCAGAAGAAGGAAAACAGACAAACTAAAACCGCCCACTCTTCTTGGTGAGACAATTCCGTTTGCGGAGGAAGTTAAGTATCTAGGATTAAACCTGGACAAAAAACTTAGCTGGAACTCCCATCTGGAAAAAATATCAAAAAAGGCTTGCTATGCTCTATTGGCATGCCGCCGAATTTATGGTAGAAACTGGGGATTAAACCCCAAAAATATGTACTGGCTATACGTGACAGCTATCAGACCTATTATCACGTATGGCGCAGTTGCCTGGTGGCAGAAAACCAAACAACGGCAAAGAATAAACTGTCAAAATAACAACGACAAGCATGCTTAGCGGTGACTGATGCCTTTCATTCTACGCCTTCAAAAGCTATGGAAACCCTACTCGACTTACCTCCTCTTCAAATTATTTTGGAGAGGGAGGCGAGATGGGCTACATATAGGTTTCTAAATATGGCACGAGAGAGCCAAGGAACAATCATGTTCATACAAAACCGACTAGAAGACGAACTACAATCGGATGAGATTCTGGGAACGGTCTCGGATCTCACACACCAATCCAACTCTTGACGCGCACCTACAACGTCCTGTTTCCGAAGAGGGACGAATGGGATAAGCCGAGAAACGGCTTATTATTTGCGGAAATGTGTTGGTACACGGACGGATCCAAAAACGATAAAGGATCTGGCGCAGGAATTTACTGCAGCAGTCCAAAGACTGAGATCTACCACAGTCTTGGAAAATACACCACTATTTTCCAAGCTGAGCTATATGCGATTGAAACCTGTGTGCAACTGCTGGTAGAACAGCAATACACCGGGAAAACAATAAGCATATTTTCGGATAGTCAAGCCGCGTTGAAAGCACTTGAGGCAACGAAAAGTACGTCCAGGACGATTCTTCATTGTAAGAAACTACTCAATATATTAGGAGATGGAAACAAAGTGTCGCTATAATGGATACCGGGACATGTCGGCCTAGAGGAAAATGAACGTGCTGATTCCCTCGCCAAAACTGGTGCAGACTCGCCATTCGTGGGCCCAGAACCGACACTTAGCGTACCAAAAAATCTCGCTATAGACAGGCTCTGTGAATGGGTTAGGGGTGTGACGTTTCGGGACTGGTATGACAGTCCCGGAATGGAACATGCCAAGACAATCCTAGCAGGGCCATCCAAACGTAGAACAGATGAACTCCTAAAGGCTGGTAGGAACGGAGCGCGTACGCTTACTGCAGTATACACAGGCCACTGCCGGCTGAGATCACACCTACAGAGGATGGGACTGGTGGAAGACGCCGAATGCCGACTCTGTATGGAAGATGACGAAATAATGAAGCACGTTATATGTACCTGCCCCGCTGGGGGCAGGACCATGTTTGAGGTGTTTGGCAAACCCACGCTAGACCTATCAGACCTAGAAGACATATCACCCTAGGACATAACGGCCTATGTTAAAAGGCTGGGTCTTGACGGTGAACTTTAATGCTCTTTTTCTATTAAAGAGCTTGTAGAAACTGAGCCACAATAGGCCCTCGCGGCCTCAGTGGAGGGTCCCACCTGGGACTCACTCTTAGTAAAATACAATACAAGATACAAACTACAACCAAAGAGTAGAAATTTGCTACAACTACGCATATGCTTATTTTCTCATTATTCTAATTGATGAAATAACTAATTGGATTAAGAAATTTTATTTTTATTCATTTCCTTACTTCTTACCACATAAAAAAATCGTGCTGCTAAGAATGCCAATTTGGTCGCAAATGGCAGTTTACGAAGTGTCTCTGAAATAAGCATTTCTTTTTATTTTCTGGAACTAATTTATATGTGAATTTTACTTAGAGTACGAGTATATGGAAGATACCGGAAAAGATGTTCAAAACCTCATCGCCTCATAGCGAGTTGCCAGTTTAGTAGCTGTAGTTGTCAGTTTTGAGTCCATATTTTTTAATTATCTTTCGTGTCGATTGCTGATTGAATTGGAGCCCAGAAATGGTCAGGCTGAGACATTCAGGCTGAGACGACAAACACCATATCCAAACTACTTCCATTTAAATCCCGAATAACTGATGAAAAGGAATACAAACATTTTCAAAAATGGAAGCAATTATAAAACGTGCGAGAAGAAATAAAGTTTTTAACCTATCCTCGCTGTTAAAGTATCATTTAATCTACCCTTGCAGTTAAAGCACTATTTTATCTACTATTTATGATAGATATAAGGCAATTTTAACACATGGTTAAAATATTTTAACGCATTGGTTATCTAGACACATTGCTTTGTTAGCTTTAAGATCTGGGTACGTCCATGTACAGAAAGCGTTAAACATCATATTAACATCCAATTACAAGTAAACGAAGAAAAATCTATTAAAACAACATTATAAATGTACAAAATAATATTTTTTAATATTTTTAGAAAGTCTGCTTTAAATTTCCCCCAAAGGTCTGAAAAACTACAAGTGCTTTCAAGCGTCACGAACCTTAGAAATCAATTCGATCAATTGAAAAATAAAGCTGATAATCTTGAAACTGA